GGGGCGCAGCAGGAGCAAGCACAGCCTGGCACACGCACACACGCACGCGCCTGCAGGCACGCTCACCCGCAGCTACAAATATGCACCTGCACATATGCATGTTCAGGTACATCTGCATGCACGCCCATACATGTACACACGCATGTGCATGCCAGCATGCCTCCGTGTGCGTGTGTGTGTACATCTCCATACGTGTGCGCAGATAAGCATGCACATACATGTGCGGATCCGCACATGCACACACACAGCCGTGTGCGTGCATGCATACACACTCATCCACGTGTGTGCATGCAAATACACCTTCACATGTGTGGGCAGATAGGCATGCACACAGGTCTGCAAATCCACAAGTGCACACTGACACACGCACATGAACACACATAGCCATAGGTGCATGCATAGATACATACACACCTATGTGCATGCAAATGCACCTTTACGTGTGTGCAGACCTCCACATGTACACAAGCGTGGCAGATAGGCACGTACACACACCTGCAACGCCACACATGCACGATGGTGCACAGCCATGAGCATCCCCAGCCACATACGTGCATGCATACCTACCTTGCACATGTGCACGCAGACTTGGGCATACACATGTTTAGACACGAACACACACATCCACGTACACACGCACCTGGACGCAAACCCCTCACCTTCAGATTCTCCTGCATCTGGCTGGGGAAGAACAGGTCCAGGCCCACCTCCTTCCTGGAAAGCAGAGACCCCCATGCACATTAATGGCCCCGCGGGGGCATCCGTGCGGAGCACAGAGCAATGATGCGTGGCATGTGGGGGGGACGTGTGCCAGGCAAAGGGGGGGTCCCAGCTTGCGGGCAACGGGGTGCTCCTTGTCGAGGAGCCACTGCTCTCCCTGCACGGGCAAGGGAGCGAGCTCGCTGCCCACTGGGGCAGGGACATAGGGCTCCCATCCTGCTCTCGCTGCACCCTTCACATCAGCAGGGCCACCTCGGGCCCCAGGAGGATGAGGAGGGTCTGCGCTGAAGACCCGTCTGCAGGGTCCCAGCTGGAAGGGTGGGTGGATTAGGGGAGAAGGGTTTCTGTGAAGGTAGGGGGACTCTTTGGGGGACCCCAAGGACAGCAGCCCAGCAGGCCCTTCTGTGCCTACTCACTCCAGGAACTCAAAGTTGGACTTCTTATCCAGGGCATTCTGAGGCATGTCCTTGTAAAACCTCCTGCAAGAAGGGAGAGACATCAGAGAGACGGAGAGCCGCCCAGCCACCGCCCACGCATCCCTCTGTCCCTGCGCTCGGGTACTCCTGCCACGACCTATTCTCTAAGGGCAGAGCCCCAACAAGCTCGGTGCAGGAAACTCCCCCCTCCCGCCGTGAGGGTCCATCCAAACGCTGTCTTATCCTCCCTGAGCTCTCTGGCTCCCGAAGGCATACGCCGGGATGCTCCGAAGGCACGTACCTGAGCTCGAGGCAGCCCAGCTGCAAGGCCATGCCTTCGCTCACCTTGCTGGCGTAATTCTGCATGTACTCGCTGCGGAGCTGCAGGCGAGAGCGCGGCATCAGGAGGCTGCGGAGGCGCTGGCCGGGCACCTCCACGTCCTGCCGCGCGCATGCTCTCCCGCGCCCCGAGCTCACAGGCAGCAGGGGAGGGAGCAGGGTGAAGAGATTTATTGCTATAGCTGGTGTGGTTGGGGCCGGCAGGCGGCGGGGACACATGGATCCAGCAGCTGCCCGGGACCATAGCGGTTGGCTGCAGACTGCGGGGTCTCAGCAGCCTCAGTGAGATGGTGTAAAGGCAAACCGGATGCAAGGTCTTGGTGTTCATGGACATGTGTTTATGGGGCTCGGGAGGAGGAGAAGCCCCCCTGGTGTTGGGACAGCGGCTCTGGAGGCAGGTTGGGTGGCCAGAACAGCCCTGGCACACCTGGGCGCAGCGATGTCCTGCTGGGGTTGGGGGGCCTGGGGGACCCTGGGAACACCTCTGACCTGCTGGTAGAAGTAGAGCAGCGTGGTCCTGTCTTCCTTGAAGCGCTCCATGTAATCCTCCGGGAGATACCGGATTTGGAGATCGTACCTGGCAACATAGGGGCACCCCTCATTCAGCTCTGCTGGCACCCCCCAGCCTGGCTTTCCCTCTAACGGCGGGGGGGGGGGTGCCG